ATCTGCCTATATATCCACTTATAGATTATTATTACTGATATTCCAGGATTGCGTATTTACCTTTGTAGTCTGTAACTTTGCACCTCTCAGTGTCTTTTTACTTTAGTTATACTGTACTCATCTTCCCCTTATTGTGTATATTGCCTTTCCCTTCACCTAAATTAATGTCTATTGTCTAGTTATTGATTTTCACTTCCCCTCCCATCCCTGGTAATCCTCAAAGACTGTTTTTTTCCATGTATAAACTTTTCCTTGACTTTTACTGTAGCTACTTACATAGCATTTTGTGTGTGTGTGTGTGTGATTTGGGTGGAAATTTACAGAGCAAATTCACTTTCCATACAGCAGTTCACATACACTTTGTGTCATGACACTGGCTACAATTTACCAAAATGCAACAGCTTCCCTCCCACTCCTACCCATAGTTACCTCTTCCCTGTGTCCATCCCTCTGTGAATTCCTGCCCCCTGAGCTGTCTCCCTATGAATACACACAGCCTTTCTATTCACTTATGATTTCTCTCCAAAGAGTGCATCTACCTAGTGTAAATGTTCACCTCGTATGCCTGTCTTTTGTTTGGCTGGAAGCCACAGGAGTGGGTTAAATTCCAGACCTGAAGGGCAGCTAGGGGCCATAGTCTCACTGGTTCCATCAGGTTCTATCAGACTAGCAAACTTGGTTCCTTTTTTTTTTCTTCCACAAATAATTTTGAGTTTTGTTCCACATTGGTGTCCTACTCTATCCAGGATCTCCTACATAGTTCCACCTCTGAGTGGTTGACCTTGGTAGCCGGCACCATTTAATTCTTCTGGTCTCATAGTCATATAGGCTTAGGATTACATGGTGTACCAGTCACTTGGACTAATTGTTTCCATGAATCTGGTTTTCTTCATTCTTATTTGCTCTGGATGAGGAGAGACCCATCGTTGCATCTATATGGCCTCTTGCAGGGTTTTAAGATCCCAGTGGCTACTCGCCAAAGTAGGATGTGGAACAATGTTCTGTGTAGTATGTTTATTAATTTATATATTCAATTGAAGTGGGACTGGATAACTATTATATTGGTTGAGTGTATTTTACTATATATTTTCAGTGATTTTTTTTTTTTAATCTTAGGTGTAAGAGCTTCATCTTGAAAGAATGGGAAATTTTGAAAAATGTTAACTTTGAGAGTACTAATACTATAGAAAGAAAGGGAGGGAGGGAGGGAGAGGGAGCGAGTTAATTAATTAATTTGGTTTTAAGTGCAGATTTATTTTCTCAAAGCTTAAAACCCAGAAACAATCCCACTACCTTTTGCATCTCAAAAAGGATTGCTTTAAGATACACCATATGCTAATACCACCATGTTAGCGTAACAAAACTCATTCCCAAATGGGATTATAACCACAAGTATAACCAAAACCAGACTGACTGCCAGAGAGTCAATTCTGGACTCATAGCAACCTTCTTTTGGTTTCCGAGGTGGTAAATCTTTACAGAAGTAGATTGCCCAGTCTTCTTTCCGAGGAGTGGCTGGAGGGTTTGAACTGCCATCCTTCTAGTTATCAGTCAAGTGCCTTAGGCATTATGCCACCAGAGGATTTACAACACATACTTTCAGGGGACACAATTCAATCCAGAACTGAGTAAGTCACAAATGTGCACAGAGTGACTAAGCTTAGTCTCATTGGCCATCTTACTATCCCCAGAATGCCACAGTTCAGTGCTAGTCACTATATTATGAAGAGACAGGTAGTGTTTTTCTGAGACCCAGGTGTGTGTGTGTATGTGGAGGGGGCAGTGGTAGGAATGGAGGGACTCTGGGACTGATGTGTGGGGGAAGGCACCTCAGTCCCTTCTGCTTCTGTAGATCCAGGACTGATTTATTGATCCTCTTACCCACCCCTCTCCACTTCACCTCTCAGAACCAGAGGCTCCCTCTCCCTTTATTTGTCTGGGAGTCTTGTCACCCATGTTCCCACATCCTTCCAGTTTTTTCCAACCCATTTGTTCCAGTAGAGAGCACTTATTCCTTGCTCAAAATCACCTATGAATTGTCAGCTCCCTTTTATGTTCTATTAAGTTGTGCTTTGTTTTGTTGGGATTTGATATGATGCAAAATAGTAATTTTTAATAGATAATTTAAAAATTCACTGCTGCCCAGTCGATTTCGACTCATAGTGAGACCCTCGTTGGGTTTCTAAGAACTGTTTGTAAATCTTTATGGAAGCAGACTGTCCTACCTTTCTTCTTTGGAGCTGCTGGTGGGTTCGAACCACTGACTTTTTTTTTTTTTTTTAGGATTTGGGTGAAGATTTACAGAGTAAATTCACTTTTC